TCCCAATCTAAATCCATTGAGGCATTGGATGTTGAGCTTTTAAAAGAGACCAAGCGTTCAGGTTTTTCAGACAAACAATTGGCGCAAATATTATACGGTACCCAATCCATGCATGCGAATGAAATGTTGGTGCGCAATTTTCGTAAAGCCCAAGGCATTGTACCTGTGATCAAACAAATTGATACTTTGGCGGCAGAGTTTCCAGCCAAAACCAATTATTTGTATATGACCTATCATGGCACCGAAAACGACATTACCCCCGAAACCGAAAAATCGGTGGCGGTACTGGGCAGTGGGGTGTATCGAATTGGCAGCAGCGTTGAATTTGACTGGTGTGGGGTAAATGCCATACAAACGGCTGCTAAGAATGGGTACAAGACCATTTTCATTAATTACAATCCCGAGACCGTATCCACCGATTACGACGAATCGGATCGGTTATATTTTGAAGAATTGAGTTTTGAAAGGGTGATGGACATCATGGATTTTGAAAATCCAACGGGTGTGATTTTATCTACAGGAGGGCAAATCCCCAATAATTTGGCCACCCGATTGGGCGATGAAAACGTTCCCATTTTGGGCACATCGCCCGAAAGCATTGACATGGCTGAAAATCGCCACAAATTCTCGTCCATTATGGATGAATTGGGCATTGATCAACCCCGATGGAAAGAATTAACCACCATAGAGGCCATTTTTGAATTCGTGGCCGAAGTGGGATACCCCGTATTGATACGTCCTTCCTATGTACTTTCTGGAGCGGCAATGAACGTGGTGTCCAACGATTATGAATTAAAAGAGTTTTTAAAATTGGCCGTGATTGTAAGTCCCGATTACCCCATTGTGGTATCGGAATTTGTACAAGGGGCTAAAGAATTGGAATTGGATGCGGTGGCCCAAAATGGTGAAATTGTGGATTTTGCCATTTCCGAACATGTGGAATTTGCGGGCGTGCATTCGGGCGATGCCACCATGTACTATCCCCCTCAAAAAGTATACATAGAAACGGCCAAACGCATTGAGCAAATTGGCGATAAAATTGCCAAACGCTATAATATTTCTGGACCATTCAACATACAGTTTTTGGCCAAAGACAATAGTCTGCGGGTGATTGAATGCAATTTGCGGGCTTCCAGAAGTTTTCCGTTTGTATCCAAAGTATCGGGGCACAATTTAATTGAGAAAGCCGCCAAAGTGTTGTTGGGGGTTCCTGTGGAACGGGGTGGCTTTGAGGCCATGCTGCATCTTAATGTGGTGGGGGTAAAAGCGTCTCAGTTTTCATTTACCCGTTTGGCAGGGGCCGACCCAGTGCTTTCGGTGGATATGTCGTCTACGGGTGAAGTGGGCTGTATAGCCGATACGGCACCAGAGGCCTTGCTTAAGTCTATGTTGTCGGTGGGCTATAAAATTCCCAATAAAAACATTTTGATTTCGGGAGGCCCCATCACTTCTAAGGTGGAATTGTTGGAACCCACCCGAATGTTGGTGGAAGCGGGTTATACGATTTACGCTACCAAAGGCACCCATATGTTTTTGACC